CCAAAGAACCTGGTTGCATTCTGCTCATGGCCAGGTGAGACTAAATTAAAAATTAATGGACTGATTTGTTGTTATGGAGGAAATTTCAACATTGTACAAGGTTGAATCTGCAGCATGGTTATTAATGATGACAATTATGGAGCTCAACAATCAAGAGGCAACAAACATGGTAGGAGGAAATAAAAAAGTGCAGTTTGGGAAGGTGACTGGAAAACTTAAGACTTCAGTCATGTGCTGAAAAAGATATTGTAATTGTTAAAGAAGAGCTGCACAATCTGCACAAGAGCAACAGGTAAGGTTCTGTGGGGGCCAGGTGACACTGGGATGGACCTCCGTGTCACAAGGGCAAGGCCAAGCTCAATGGACCTCCATATTATGAGGGTGAGGCTGCACTCAATGAACCTCCATGTTATGAGACAGCTATTTTCAGAAGCTTCTGTAACTGAGGTCCAAGTGGATAGGGGCCATATCAAGCTGGAAGCAGAACTTGACAATGTTGTTCATGTGGTACTTGCTTTGAAGACAAACACTTTGCAAGATGAAGGAGGTCATGGCTTTTTCATATGCAGTTTCATAGAACTAAAGAGATCAGGCAATGTGAAGCAGAGCTAGAGTTCTTTCAATTTATCCCCAAGGGGCCATTGCATGGAACTGTCATAGTGAAGCCTGGGTTGCTGCTGAGATCCCAAAATGTTTGCGATATCTGTCAAGGGGAATTGCATATGGAAAATGGGATAAGAAATGAACCTAAGAGAACTATGTGTGTTGCAAGCAGCAAAGCTCAGTTCCATCTAAACCTATTAAAGCTGAGGCTTCAGATGCTGTATGTGGACGTACAGAGTTTGCTTTTTCCAGGATGGTTTTAAGTTTTGCTTTGATCTACTCTTTCTTGCTATGCCCATATTCCTCCATTTTGCAATGACAAGGTATATTCTGTTCAATGCAGAAGGTGTGTGATTTGTTTTGTCATTTTTACAGAGGTCACAGTTAAGAGATTGCTTTGGGTCTCAGAAGAGACTCTGGGTATTAAAACAGTGTTGGGTCTGTGAAAGACTTTGAGGATTTTGAAGTTGGATTAAATGCATTCTCATCATGAGATGACCATGAGCCTTAAGGGGCCATGGGGAGGATGCTATGGTTTGAATAAGAAATATTTCCCATAGGCTCATGAATCCTAACATGTTGTCACAAGTAGATGGCACTGGTAGGGTGGATTATGGAAGTTTCAGGAGGGTCACTGACTTCTGAGGGTTCATAGCCTCACTCCATTTCCTGTTCTGTCTCCCTGCTTCCTGTGTAATGAAATGTGGTCAGCTGGCTCCCTGCTCCTGCCACCATGCTTTTCTTGACTGTTGCCAGGCTTTCCCACTGTCATGGGCTTTATCCCCAATCCCACCACTATAAACCACAATAAATCCCTTTCTCCTCTAAGTTGGTCATGATATTTTATCACAGAAACAGAAAAGTAATTAGTAGAAATACTACATTAAATAAGAATTGTGGGAGTACATACAATAATCTCATTCCTAATATTAAAGGAAATATTATCAACTTTTCCTAATCCAGTATGATGTTAGCTATAAGTCTGACACATATAAACTTTGTTACATTGAGGCATGATCCTATTCCTGGTTTCTTCAGTGGATAATAAGTTTGCTCAATGTCATCTATTGTCATGGCCATGAAAAGTTTTTCCCTTCATTGTATGTATGGGCAGCTCTGTGTTTATTTCACACATGCTGAACCATGCTTGCACACATGGAATGAAATAAACTTGACCATTAGGTACTGACTTTTGGATGTGTTATTGAATTCAGTTTGCAAGGATTTAATTGATGTTCATCAAGAAAATTAGTGTATACTTTTCTTTTGTTGTTAAATTTTATCTAATTTTTCAATGTCTAATAACTACTTTGGATAATTAATTTGGAAATGTTCTTTACCTCATTTTATGGAATAGTGTGAGGTTCTTTAAAGACCTGGTAGAATACTATGGTTAATCTCTCCAGTATTGAGTTTTTCTTTGTTGACTGCTCTTTCTGTCTCATTTCTCGTTGTGGATCTACACTTTCTCAATTCAATGTTTATAGGTCAAATGTGTCTAATAATATAGCCATTTCTTCTATATTATGTAATTTATGTCAGTATAATTTTCCAGGCATTCTGTAGAAGTCTTCTGGATTTCAGAAGTATCTGATGTCTTATTCACTCATTCACCTCCAATGTTACTGGCTTTCATTTACACTTTCTTTTACTTCATTTTCCAGTTAATGTGGTCATTAATTTCTCTATTTTGATGAACTTTCCAAAGAAACAAACTTTTTCATTAATACTTTGTACCCTTTCTTGGTTTAAATTTCATTACTTTCAGCTCTGACTTTCACTGTTACTAGTTTAACATTTGGATTGTTGATACCATGTTTTTAATATGCCAACGTGTGTCATTAGCTTACTTGAGGCCTTTTTTATTGTAAGCAATGATAGCTACAAATGTCCTTATAATGCCGTAGCAACGGGTAATTAGCTGATTCAGTTTCATTTGCTTCCATGAAGTTGTTAATCCCTTCCCTTGTTTCTCCAGGAACATACTGATTTTTCAAGGGCAAACTTTTATTTTTCAATATATTCATGTGCTCATATCTGTTCTCTTGTGGATAATTCCCAACTTTATTCTAGTATAATCTGATAAAATGCAAAAACATTTCAACATTTGTTTATTAAAACTCGTTTGTATATTTAAGAGCCTTGGGATGGAATAGTATATGGTTGTTCTCACAATCACTGGATCTGTGTCACAATTACTCTAAATTTTCTGCATTCATTTTTGTCTGGAATATTATCTACTGACATTAGGGTGTTATCCATTAGCACTGAATATTGATACCTCTCTCTATGTCTGTCTGTCTCTTCTGTGCCCAATAGTGTTTGTTCTATGAAATTGGATCCACCAAAATGATGAGTATATATTTGCAATCATGACATCTTTCTTTTACATTTCTTTGAGATTTTCATGCATGAGTACTGTATTTGTATCATGTCTACCCCACTCTTTCCACTTCTAACTCTTCCTACATTCCCCCACTCCCTCTCAAACGTATCACCACTTCTTTGATAGTGTTACACACGTATGTATGTAAACACAACCCACTCGGTCCATTTAGTGTTGCTTATATTCATATATGTTTAGGACTAGATGACCTACCATGAGTTCATCCCTGGAAAAGGACTCACTTTCCCTCTCTCAGCAGCTATTAGCTGTCTATAGCTCTTCAGCTATACCTGGGGAGTAATGAGATGTCCCCATCCATGTTTTAATGTCAACTGATGTTGTTATTGTGCAGGTCTTGTTTAAGCAACTATATTGTTAAGATTTCTCAGGTGCAGGTCACTATTGTATACTGAATAATCTTTCTCTCATCCAGGTCTTTTTGTTCTTACACCTTTCCTGTCCCCTTCATGATATCTTCTTAGTTGGTTGCTCCCTTTATTACTATTTTGTTACATTCTTCATCACTTATGATTAACTTAGGTTTGAATCCCACTTGATTGGATGTGAATATTAGTTAGTTTTAAAGCATTGTTTTTGTTACATTTACTTAGAAAATAACTTTTCATCCTTCCACTTTCAATTTCTGTGTCTTTTCCAGTGCAGTTTGATTTTTAAAGACAACAAACAGCTGGGTCTTCTCTTTAGACAACAAGCCACCATGTCCTTTATTAAATTAAGGACATTTGTACCTAAGGTTGTGCTAATTCCAATAACTATTTCCTGGTTGTTTTGAGTACTTAGCCATTTTCCCCTCCCTTATTCATTGTAGCAATTTGCTGGGTTATTGAGTTAAAATGTTTGATTCATTCCTAATTCTCAGGTTTTTTATGTATTTATTAGTTTTATGAAAGCTATCTTTCCCAGAGTTTCATGATTATCACCATCCTTATTCATCCATCATCTGTGCATAGGATGTTCTTAAGTATTTTCTACAGTGCTACCAAATTGTTCATGAACTGTTTTAGCCTGGTGAAGGCCCTGAACATATCTCTAGAACACTAGGAATGTAGAAAAATAGACAATCCACAGACATTTGCCTGATTTGGGCCTCCTATGCTTATACAGCAGAAAAGGTATATGTGTATATGTGTGTTTGTGTAGATACTATTATATGATATAATATATGCAACATTACACAATATCTATATGTTTAATGTATCAATTCTTTGATAGCCTTGTATTTTGATTATGTTTACCCCATTCCAAATATTTCTCCAAGGTTCACACCCCATTCCATCCTCACTCAACTTTTTTTTAAAGCCTAAATCTAATTAGTGTTGCTTACAGCTGACTGTGTGGCCATTCACTAGGGTATAGTTGATATACTAAGGGATATATGCTTAAATAAAACTAACTCTCCCTCTCCTGAAAGCTAGAAGCCACCAACATCTTCTTTGGCTAGGAATGATACTTCATGACCATATCCCCCTGCAAGTTTAAGTCAGACAAATATGTGTATATATAATATTTTATTAATTCTTTGAATTAATACAATGTATTTTGGTTATAGTCACCCTCCCACTATCCACCCAATTCCTCCTAGATCTACATCTACCCCCATGTTGCCATCTTTCCCAACTTCTCATCCATGTCCCCCTTTTAAATAATGCACTCAATTCAATTAATAGTGACATATACTTAAGGGTTTGGTACCATCTACTGGAGCATGGTTGACTACCAAGAGCTATATTTTTAAAAAGGAAGAAAGAAAGGAAGAAAGGAAGAAAGAAAGAAAGAATCTTCTTTCCTGAAGCTATCAACCGTCAATAGTTCCTTGGTTAAGGGTGTAATGTTGCAGTGTGACTTCCTTAGTGGCCTCGAGATTAATTTCAGGGCAATTGCCTATAAGAGAGAATACTCTTATGTGCTACCAGCTTGTTTGCCTTGCATTTACCAAATGCTTTAAAATCTTTGGGATTACAGCTAAAACACAACTGTTCTTCCATTGTAGGTGCCGGTATTCTCACAAGTCTTGGGCGCAGAACCGATCAATACCGATGTCTCCAGCATGGAGGATTCTGTCTCCGCTCCAGTTGCCCTTCCCATACCAGGCTACAGGGAACCTGTAAACCAGATAAGCCCAACTGCTGCAGGAGCTGACAATGATTTGAAGAATGAACATAAAAGACAAGCGAGGGATATGCAGTCAGTGTTTTAATAAAGGAAATATTTTCAAAGCCTATTTATATCAGATCAAAATGAATTTCATGTCTTAGTTTAGAAGAAGCTTTTAAATGTGTAAATTTGAAGTATAGGGCTTAGGACAAGAGGTTGGAAAATCCAGAACACCTGCCAGGCCCTGAGTAATGATGATCACAATTTGAATGATGTTACTTTTATTTCTTTTCTTTTTTTTTTTTTTTTTAATCACCAAACTACATGCACGAAGCACAAGTAGATCACACAGAACTGGACAGTAAGCACAGCTTTCAGACCTCTTGGGGCCAAACAGAGGGTGACCCACATGGCCACATGTGAGCTTGATCTGGCTTCAACATCTGTCACCCCATTGATCACCAGGGTTGACTTGGCTGATCTGGCTGGCTAGGCGGATGTCCCCTTCCTCCCTCATGGCTCCATGTGTGTCCCTCCTGAAGCTGGGTGATGGGTTGAAGAGGACGGGGCTTCAGTCAAGGTTATATAAGTAGCTTTGCTCCCCTGCTAGAACCTCCAAACAAGCTCCCAGACTAGACTCTTATGTCAGACACACAACCAATGATAGAGGTCCACATGCCCAGGTCACAACATAAAAACAAGTCATTATGAAATCCCAAGATACTATGCATCCTCAAGTCCACCAGTCTATAGGACCATACATAGATCCATAGGAAGGTTTCTAAAGAGAATTTTACCTAGATTATCCCAATAACACTGAATTTAAAGAATCAATAACAGACCTTATCAGAGAATTCAAGTTTAAGGAAGACATGAACAGCGCCTCAATGAACTGAAAGGGAATAAAAATAAGTGCCTGAATAGTGATCAAGAAAATATAAACACACTGAATGAAATGGAGAGGATGATTCAGAACTTAGAAATTGCATTGAGCAAATGGGACTCAAGCTGAAATTGAGATGAACCTGAAAAAGTTCAATAGCCCAATTACAAAACATGGGGGTAAAGCATCACAAGTAGAATGGATCAAGTAAAAGATAGATTACTAATACTTGACAAAGTGAAGAAATAGAGCCAATCAAACGAAGAATATGAATTTTTTATATCATGAATGAAACATACAAAAACTGTGGAGCACTGTAAAAAAGAGCAAACTTTGAATTATAGCCATGGATGAAGGAGAAGGCCAGGTCAATGGCATAGGCTAGATCTCCAACAGGATCACAGAGTAAAATTCCTCCCAAAGTCAGGAAGTATACACTCATACAGAACCAAACAGAACTACAATAGACAAGATAAGTATTATAAGTATATAAAATACCAAATATACTAACAAAAAGAGGATGTTGAAGGTACAGGAGGAAAATCAAGTCACATGCATATGAAAAGGCATTAAAATAATACCTTATTTCTTGATGGAAACTTTAAATGTGAGAACACAATGTACTTCAAGTTCTAAAAGACTAGAGTTGCCAAACAAGACTACTGTACCCATCAAAAATGCCTGCCATAGTTGAAGAAAGAAAAACTTTCCATGGTATAAACAATCTAAAAGAATTCATATGTCCACCAAACCATTCCTACTGAGACTATGGGAGACAATATTTTGGAGTAAAGAGAGGAATAAGCATAGCCAATAGACTATGGAAAGAAAACAAATAAATTTAGAATTATTGAAAAACAAAATAAGACTAAGAACACAAACAGCAAGCGACAAAATCAAAATGACAATAATCAACACAAACTTTAATAATAACTTCAAATGTGAGTGGCCCTTAAACCTCCAATCAAAAGGCACATGTCTGTTTAATAAACAAAATCCATATTTTCTGTTGCTTAGGTAAGAAATCTATCTTACTTTCAAAGATAGATACCACTTTAAAGTGAAAGAAAGTGGGAAAATAGGACCAAGAAGCAAACTGATGTTGTTATCCTAATATCTGACAAAAGGTGTCAAACTAAAATTAATCAAAAGAAACAAAGAGGGACACTTCATTCTAATCAAGGAAACATTTAACCAAGAAGAAATTACAATTCTAAACATGGTTACACTCAATTTAATAAAAAAAAAAAAAAACATATTATTGTACTTTAAGACACATTTTTTCTTTCTTGTTTCCCCTTTTTTAAATTTAAATTAGAAACAAGCTTATTTTACATGTCAATCTCAGTTCTCTCTCCCTCCCCTCCTCCACTATCCTCCCAGGGAGGATGAGGCCTTCCATGGGGGATCTTCAAAGTCTGTCATATCATTTGAAGCAGGGCCCAGACCCTCCCCCATGTGTCTAGGCTGAGAGAATATCCCTCTATGGGGAATGGGCTCCCAAAGTTCATTCGTATACTCGAGAAAAATACTGATCCATTACCAGAGGCCCCATAGATTGCCCATGTGCAGGGGGCCTAGGATGGTTCTATCCTGGTTTCCCAGCTATCAGTCTGGGGTCCATGAGCTCCCCCTTGTTCAGGTCAGCTGTTTCTGTGGGTTTCTCCAGCCTGGTCATGACTCCTTTGCTCATCACTCCTTCCTTTCTGCAACTGGATTCTAGAAGTTTGGCTCAGTGTTTAGCTGTGGGTGTCTGCTTCTGCTTCCATCAGCTACTGGATGAAGGCTCTAGGATGGCATATAAGATAATCATCAATCTCATTATCAAGGAAGAACATTTAAGGTAGCTCTTCACTATTGCTTAGATTGTTAGTTAGGGTCATCCTTGTAGATCTCTGGACATTTCCCTAGTGCCAGATTTCTCTTTAAACCTATAATAGCTCCCTCTATTATGATATCTCTTTTCTTGCTCTTCTCTATTCTTCCCCTGACTCAATCTTCCTGCTCCCTTATGTCCTCCTCTCCCCCTCCTCTTCTCCCCTTCTCTTTCTCCTAACTCCCTCTTCCCTCCCTGTATGCTCCCAATTTGCTCAGGAGATCTTGTCCCTTTCCCTTTCTCTGGAATATTTAAGACACATATTACTTACAATTATGTAATATTAAATGACTTTAATATCCCCTTTCTCCTCCTATACCTAGATCATCTGAAGAAAATGAACAAAGAAATATCAGTAATAAATTACATCTTATATTAAATGTACCTAATGCACATCTATAGAGTAGTATTATACTCAAACACCAAAGAATATATATTCTTCTCATCAGCCAATGGAAGCTCCTGTAAAAAAATGTAGAACACACACACAAATCTTCACACATCCAGAAAACATAAAATAACTCTGTGTGCCTCTCTGATCACAATGTTACAAGCTTGAAATCAACAGCAAACAAATTTCAATTGATTACTTAAATTTATAGATATTAAACAACTCATTACTATAATAAAGAAATTGAAGATGAAATCAAGAAATGAATAAAATATTTCCTAAGAACTAAATGAAAATGAAAACACAATAAAGCCTCCGGAACACATCAAATCATTGAAGGAAACTTCAAACCGCTAAGAAAATCAGAAACAGGAAAAAAAAATGACTTAATTATGCAACTCGTGATTTTTAAAAAGCAAGAAAAAAAACAAACCCAAATCTAGGAGATGCCTAGAATGTATAAAATTGAAGCATAAATTAATGCAATATAAATAAAAATACAAAGGATCAATGAATCTAAGAGCTGATTCTTTGAAAAGATAAAGAAGATCCACAGACCCTTATCCCAACTAAAAAAAAATTAAGAGGACCCAAATCAAAAGACTAAGAATTGAATGAGGAAACATTACAACACACAACCTTCATAATTTTTAAAGGAAATACTTTAAAAACCTATATTCCAGTAAATTATAAAACCTAAAAGAATTGAACAAATTTTAAGATTTATTCAACCAAGTCTTCATAAAATATTTTAATAAATAGAAACAGAGGATAAATAGAAACTATCTACAAAATCAGTATTACTATAATACTGAGAGCAGGTGAAGATACAACCAAAAAGTAAGGTATAGTCCAACAGTCATGATGATATGCATGTACAAATCTCAATAAGATACTTAAAAACTGATCAAAATGATTATCCCTATGACCAAGTTGATTTTATCACCAATTTGTAGACATTGGTCAGTATACATAAATCAACAAATATAATATTAATCATATAAGTGGAGTTTAAGATAAAAAATGACATAATCACTTTAATAGATGCAGAAAGTGACTTTTAAATTTTTAACACATATTCATGATACAAGTCCCAGAAAGAGTTGGGTTGGAGAAAACAAGTCTGCATAATAAGACCTACATAGGACAAAACCAGAGCTAACATTTTCCTGAACAGAGAAAACTTGAAGAAATCCCATTAAAATAAGGAACAAGTAGGAATATTCCTATTCCTTTTCATTGTAGTGTTTGAAGCCCTAGCTAGGTCAAGAAGATAAGAAAAGAAAATCAAAGGGATATAAATAGGAAAAGAAGTCAACTTATTCCTACTACTTGCAGATGATATGATAGTATACTTAATTCCACCTGAAATCTACCAACAACATTTTCAGAAAAGTGACAATATATAAAATCAGCTCACAAAATCAGTGGCATTTCTATATATCAATAACAAATATGCTGAGAAGAAAGTCATGGAATACTCCCATATATAATAGTCTCTAAAATTATCTAGAAATAAACCTAGCCAGACTCCTAACCTCACGGACTCCTATAATGTAACATTAAATCTCTATGGAAGGCATTAAGAAATGGAAACACACATCCCATTCTCATAGATTGGTAGAGACTGTGGGAAGAACATACTCTCATTATTCTGTTAAATGTACATGGCATTAAACTGACTACTAATATGTATCACTATACCCATAGATCAATTCATCTCAAAGTTTCTATTTGCAGTAGATGATTAAAGCAGAGAGACCCCCACTGGCCAAGATGCACAGAATATGAGACTATAGAGTGTTCAGTTATAAAGGGAAAATATATAGTGCATTCACCCGACCTAAGCCTCAGAGTTCATTTTAGAAGAGGTAGTAGAAAAAAGTATAAGAACCAGAGGTTGTGGATGACTACAAGGAAGCACCTTTGGGACACATCAGGTCAGCTGCACACACAAATTCACAGTGGTTATGACAC